TAATGGAGAAGTGTGTGTAACAGTCTGTAAGCTTTTGAAAATTCAGTTTAGGCAAGGGACCAGTGTGCCAAATGACCACTTTCCTCACTGAAATACCCTGCAGAGACAATGAGCTGGGGGTGAGGTGTCTAACAAGGTACGCCCTGGCAAGCTGCAGTTACATATGAAGCAATTTAACACCTCTAGTAAACATTTATATACTGAGAAATTATTCCCACATGAGGGATGATATAACATTGTTTTTCACTTATATCTCCCCCGTCTTCACCTGCCTGCCCCTGTCCTCTTTTCTCTCTTTTTTTTTTTTTTTGAGCAGGAAGTACAAAAGAGAAGAGACAGTGGGGTGTGATTACTTATGTATTTATTCTCAGTTACTTCCACCTCAGCTCCTGCTGCTAAACAGCTGCTTGGAGCCCTTTGGGGCTTGCTGATGTCCCAGATGAATAATGTCCCCCTCACCTCCCCGGCAGCTGGCGCCCAGCCGACGTGCAGGCAGGATGCTGACAGTTATTGGGGAAACATTTGGCATGCAGGCAGCTGCCAGAAAGCAAAAGTCACTCTGAGCAGACCAGGGTGGGGAGCATTTCAGATATTAAACTACTCCCTGACCCTTTTTGCATTTACAGTAATCCTTTCCAATAAGGAATGAGCAGTCAGGGTCTAGAGCACTCAATAATTAGTTAATCCAGGATTAAATACAAGAATGAGTCAAAACTTTTGTACATTGTTTCAGTCTTGATCAGTTATTTTATCAAATCCATAATTTGTCTCCTTTACACATGAGTTTTTACTAAGGCTTCTTTCAGGGAATGGCAATCATCTTAATGTCACTTCAAAGTTAGCCCTGCAATGAGCATGGTGTTGGGCCAGATGGTTTCCAAAGATCCTCTCCAACCTAAATTACTCTGTGACTTTATTCTGTGATGTTGGAAAGTATTCAGATCACCTTCTGTTAAAGCTTAGGGTCACAAACATTTTGAAGGCAAGCTGGTTTTGGCAGGTGGGGTTGTTACTACTTTCAGGCTTTGCCTGAGTCCACATGCTTTTTCTTGTCAGTGTCAATCAGTTTAGAAGTAAAATATATGGCAGACTTTTGAGACTGCCAGAGTACAGTTCAGAGAGTGTGTGACATGATTTAATGGTTAGTTGAGCATTGATCTATGGCTGAGAAGCAAATCAGAGCATCTTCCAGGGTGTCCTCATCTGCCTACAGTGGTGTTGCTCCTGCTGCCACTGTGATTCCTGGCTTCTGCTGCTTTTGATGCACTGATCTCCCACACTTCCCATGTTTTTTACCCAGCCATTCTCTATTACAATGTCCAAAAAAAACCCCCTGCTTCTCTCCTCCAGCCTAGTAAAGAGAGATTATTCTTTATTCTATGTTGCTTTCTTTTTCCTCTAAAACCAGTGTTATTTATATAAGCAATCACATTTGTTCTGTCTTTGAATAGCTTCAGCAGGGTTTATTTCTTTCTGTGGAAAATATGACATGAGGTTTTGACTGAAATTACATCTTTGTCTTAGCAAATTTTCCATTTTACTAAAGCATCAAACAAAAAGTTAAATCTAACACTGGGATAGGGGAAAATGCCATTGATTTTATATTAATTTTCAGTAATGTAATAACAATGCTATTAACACCCAAGCAAAGCACAAAAAGAACTTGTTCCGATTTGTAATGCCATTTTCTATTAGGTGTCAGACACCTGAGGCACTGCATATTTGCTGGGATTTTTGCACTTCTTGGGCAAATTTGCAGCCTCTTATGGCTTGGACTTGTGCCTCAGATGCTTCCCTGAAGGCTTCATTAATTGCCAGTAACACAAATCTTGTTGTATCATATTGCTAAATGATGCAGTTTTCTTCCTCTCTGTGTCATGCCAGATAGGAAAGGCTCTGGAAAGGAATTTAGTCAGAATGTCTTGATCTCTGGGAAGAATCTGAAATCTGAATGAAGTCTACTTGAATGATGAAGGGTAGCCAGAACCTGAAGTGAGAATGTCATCTTCAGTGTCCTGGGAGGATCTTTTTCTATTGACACAAAGGGCAAAGTGTCTTGTGAGACTGTCATTTTTCTAAAAAGAGAGCAGGAGAGCCCATCCTTCTTCAACAACATCTCTCACCCATAATGGCGCTGAAGTATAAAGCCCCCTTAGGCTGAAAATAATTACACATATTTGAAGGGGTCATTAAGAAGAATTTTGAGAATCACAGAATTGGTTGGGAAAGACCTCTAAGAGCACTGGTCCAACCATTAATGAGCACTGCCATTTTCACCACTAAATCACACCCCTAAGACCATATCCACACACCCTTTGAACAGCTCAAGGGATGGTGGCTCAACCACTTCCCTGGGCAGGCTGTTTCAATGCTTGGTAACCCTCCCCATGAAGAAAATTTTTCCCGATATCCACTAAACCTCTCCTGGCACTACCTGAGGCCGTTCCCTCTTGTCCTATACCTTGTTACCTGGCAGACAAAGCCAACCCCCACCCCACTACAACACATTCCAGCACCTTGATGTCTTTCCTTCAGTGAGGGACACAATGCTGAACACAGGATTTGAGATGTGGCCTCACCAGTGCTCAGCACAGGGGGACAATCTAATGTGTTGATCACGCTGTTTCTGATGCAAATAGTGTATTCTGCTGTGTTCTTTCATCACGGCCTTGAATCTCTTTGTGCTTCTGTGAGAAAAGCTGAAGGACCAGGAAGCAAGCCAGAGTTATGGCTATATGCAGAAATAAGAAATAGGAGATCTCTTTAAGGCATGAAACCTCCCGGCAGGATTTGCTGTCATCATCTTCTCTACCACAAAGCAGGCTAGGGACCTGCTTTCTGCACAGAAATGTTATTGATTGTTATTCATTTTGCTGCTGTTCTCTGTTTCTCTGTTCAGGCTCTGGTGCTCTTCAGCTGATGTTTATTCTCAGCTAGTCCCAGGCCTGGCACTCCACTGCCTTGTTCTCAGTATCCATGGGAACATTCACATTGTTCCACGGCTCAAAACAGGGATTCAGTGTCCACCTTCGCTTTAGAGATTCACTCCTCATCTGCTGCATGAGAGAGTGCCCTGCCTTCCTGCAGGACACAGAGTTTGAGAATAGGCTTTTCTGCATTAATTCTGTATTCTTGTGTCCATCGTCTAAGTGGAGGAACTCTTTCTTTGCCAGGATCTGAAAAGACAAGAGCTTTTTTCTGAGCTTTTGGCTGGCAAAAGTAAAGCAAATGAAGGCAGTTTCCCAGCCACTCTGTGTCCTCCCCCTCCCAGAAAGCTGGATAAGGAGAGACACACCCGGAGCTCCTGCCTCTCCAGGTCCCACAACTATTCAGTAACTCAGCACAGATCCCGAGCCCTGTCCTAAGTAGCTGGTTAATCCTTCTTGAGGACCTGTGCCCAACTGCAGGGTACTTTCTACACAGCAAGCCCAGCAGAATGGAGCAGCTCAGACTTTCCAAGATTTGCATTCACTTGCTGTTTCTCAGCAGAGGTCACCACTTGCCTCATCCCCATGGACACCAGGGAGGTCCATAAATCAGCTGCACAGCGATAGCACAGCCCTCATGATGCTCATTATGCATCTCGCTACTGGATGAAAGCACCACCTTTGGTGCCAAGTACATTAGGGAACATGCCTAGGTTTAAAAAAGCTCCATGGGAGGGAATCACAACATTTCTAAAGTTTGTCCTCTTGCATCACAAAAGCTGAGCATGCTTCTCAACCATGTCTCAGGCGGGTGATAACAAAAGTCCAAGGCCAACAAACAAAATGAACAGCTTTAAAACAACAAAGCTGTGCTGGGGTTTGTGTTCAGTGTTTGTTGCCACAATCTGGCCCAGACTCACCATCTCACATTTCCCTGCCAGAATGATGGAAATATAAATAGGGGCTATAAACCCAAAGTATTTCCAGCTCATACATCCAAAGGATAGAAATTATAGTCTCTTAGCAAGGAAAATGTTCGAGGGTAGTGAGGTAATGGGACCTGGTTACAGAGCTCATTTCTTTGAAAATCTTTAATACAGCATGGAAATTTTTCAATGTCCTTGATGCAACCTCTGTTAACTTATAAAATAATCCCTTCTTTCAATGGAAAAGCCTCTTCCTTCGAGAATGATCTGCTGAGCTCCATTTTGGGAACCGTTTCTTTCCAGATGTTGTTTCCAGATACTTTTGAGTGGCTCCGAAGACAGAGCGTCAGCAAGGAATGAAATCTGGCTGCTTGAAAGATAATCCATTGCCTGTTGGCTTACCTAGAAAGGGCCTCACTTTTCTGTGCATTAGCTGAGGGCTGCTGCTGTTGAGCCATAGGAGTCCAAGCTCCACTCTTGCTAAATAATATTCTGGAAGTCCATGCCATGAGTCACAGCAGCATATGAGGCTCTGCTCATTTGATTAATTGCATTACCATGCCTGCCCTTCACTTGTTGACTCCCGGCCATAAGAGCCTGGGATGTGCTGCGTATGTAGTAAACTGATTGAAGGGGGAATGTGTGTCGATGTATGGATGTGTACAAGAGCTTTCTGAAATCCCTTATGATCTTCCCACCCACTGGGCATTGCTTCAATACAGAGCTCAATCGTCAGGAAACAAACTTGCTCCCTCATCTGTGTCCCACATTGCAGCGAGCTTGCCAAGTACAGCCAAGCTTTTAGAAAGAGAAGAGAACCCCCCCACCAGTGAATTTATGACCCTTGGCTCTGCTTGTGGCTTGTTCCTGTGCATGCCTGAGTGACATGGAAACTGCAGAAAATCTGTTTGGCCTGTTTCTATGCTCTCACACTTGCAGCTACATTGGATTTTTCCCTTTTTAAATGACTAGGGGGTTTTGTTGGGTTTGTTACGTTATAACACAAGCAATACACCATGGAGAGGCCCAGAGAAGAGCAACGTGTGTTACTGAAAAGAGAGGGGAAGGATGGCAAAGAAACAAGGAGTGGTTAGAAGTGCTTCTGGAGTGTTTGAAAGTAAAACACCACTCTCCTGGTCTCTTCCAGGTCGTTCAAGCCAGATTTTGTCCTGATCCGGCAGCACGCCTACAGCATGGCACTGGGGGAAGACTTCCGCAGCCTCATCATCGGCCTCCAGTACGGTGGCATCCACACAGTCAACTCCCTCTACTCCATCTACAACTTCTGCAGCAAGCCCTGGGTGGTAAGTGATGACCCAGCTCTGCTGCCTGTCAGCACTGCAAAGGAGATCTTGGTACTGATAGAACACCAAGCTCGCCTTCCAGGACTTTCAAAGGAATTGGTCTCTCCAGGTTAAAAGCTAAACTGCCTTAGGAATCCAGGTGGGAGTTCTTGGGGGGAAAAACCTCCCAGAACTACTTTATCAGCTTTAGTTATACCAAGGTGTTATTTCTTCACTCTGAGTAGAATGTTTCCCCTGTCCCAGAATCTAAAGAGTCACCAATAGCTGATAGTGCAGGAGAGTTCATGGAGGACCGTCTCCCCTGGGAGGGATCCTACACTGGAGCAGGGGAAGGGTCTGAGGAGTCCTCCCCCTGAGAAGGAAGGAAGGATCAGTAGAGGCAACATGTGATGAGCAGACCAAAACCATCATTCCCAATTCTCCTGCACCATTGGCTGGGAGAAGGTAGAGAAAATCAGTCCAGTCAGGGTCAAACCACCACACAGGCAGAGCTTTTCAACAGTACCAGAATGACATGCAATATTATCATAAAGTGTTAGTTCACTGAACCTGAAACATTGCAAAGACTTAGACTGAATCAGCTCCCGATGAGGACAGGGCATTTGATATTTGGCATTTGACCAGTTTTGATATTTTGCACTGGAAGATCCCTTCATCCATTCTTTAAATTTTGTCAAGTTCTCATGAGAATCCCAGAAAACCATGAAAAAATATTATCACTGGTTTTTCTCAGCGCCAAATCAAAGAATGTAATAATTCCCTGGAGCATTGCTATGATCAACTCAAAGGCAGCTGAAGCTTCAGAAGCAGGAGAGCTGGAGAGATAAGTTGGCCATGAGCCACAAGACTAAGGCTGGCCATGGCAGTACCTGCAGGAGGAAGTCAGATCCTGATACCACTTTGGAGTTGGCATGTGGGCTTTCCAAGCAGTTTCATCCCAAAATGTCTTCTCTGATCACTGATGCTTCCAGAATGGAAATTTCCCCTCATTCCTCTAGGTTCTAAGAAGGAACTACAGCTATATGGATGTGAGAAGGAGATGGGACTTTCCAATAAGATGCCATGGAAAACTTTTAGATGTGTTTCTTCCCCTTCACCTAATTTATTGTTGTTTTTTTCTTTGGAATAAATATCCTCGTGGTCTTCACTGTGTTGGTTGGTAGCTCAAGTCCAGATGAGGTCTGTAGTGACTCAGACTTTTGTTTCCATGGTTGGGCGGTGTTGGACTTAAGTAATTTCTTACTAAAATGGTACCAGTGTAATAAACAGAGTCTTTTCAGTTTTTTAGCCCCTTTACAATATTGGTGGGATTTGTTGAGCCCAAAAGAAAGATCTTGTCTTTTCCAAAGATGTTGTCATGCAATAATCAGGATAGTGAGAACAATCTCACTGTGCCTGTATGGGTGGTTAATGTACATTTGACCTCAGTTTCCATTTGATTTTTCGATTCCAGGCTCAGTACCACACCTTCACATTGTTTCTGACAGCTGATCCTACACACAAGTGCATTGGCCCTGGTGACCAGACAAAAAGCCTCCACATTTACACTGCCTTTTGCTTATAGTCATGTGGTCCATTCCATCTGATTTTTGGGTCAAGTCAGTCAGGGCTTAGTTAACACTTTTTGCCACTCATGCCTTGTACTTACGTTTCTGATGGTGTGAAGGAGCCTCAAGATGTGAAAGGCCTATTTTTAGGCATCTAAAATAAAAGAAAACAAACAACAACAACAAAAAAAAGCAGTGCTGGAAAGGCAGTGTGGGAGAGCTTGGCTCTGCCAGCAGCTTGGCTCTAGCTACTCTGGGTCTGGTTGTGCCACACTTTCCTCACGGGGAATACAGCTGGCACAGACAGCCTTCCCTGAGGAGTCAAGGAAACCACTGGCAAACAATTTAAGCAGGTTTGCAGAATGCCTCCTTTCCTTGCTGCCCCTGCACACACATCACCCCAAACCAGTGATTGTAACATGTTCAGCAATCTGAGATTGCATTGAATAAGCAATGCTCAGATGGTATTTAGGCTCATGTAGAGAGTGCAGTGGGGCATTTGAGGGCAAAAAGCTTCACTGACAGCAGAATCTGAAAATTTTGTTTTTGTGATAGGTGGGAAGTGAGAGATAGGGACACCTTGGTGCACGTTCGACTTTGATTGCAAAACAGGCATCTTGACATAACAAAGATTACTGGAAACTTTTTGGATCTAGAAAACAGTTGAGATGCATGAAGAAATGAAATCAAATACCCCTGGGAAATGTGCTTACACTCCCATTTTTTACTTTCTCCAAAAATGGTTCCATTTCATAGAAATGTTTATGATTTTGTGCAGGGGGATGAAATTGAGACTGCTTTTCCTTGGCAGTTTGCAACCACGTTTTAGTCTCAGCAGCTCTAATTACAGTCAGCTGAGTTTGGGTTTGAGTTTGCTCAAACATGCAGTCCCACTTTTAATGACATTTGCCAGGTTTCCAGTTCTGCAACACAAAAACTTCTTCAAAGATTAAAACAGACACAGTTTGAATTAGATGTTTCTGAGAGAAAAGAAAAAAGTATTCAGAGAGTCTCACACCCTGAGAGAAGCATCTAAGAAACCTGAGTTTTAAGATGATCCCAGAACTATTGACAATTAATACTACGAGCACTCCAAGTACAATGCTTCAACCACCAATAATAATTTCTGTGTTAGAATTCTAAGTTCCAATCCAAAATACAGTGGGAAGAATGCTCAGAGCAGTAACCACACTGCATGCAGGTAATGTCTGTAATTGCAAAGCAACTTTTGCGTCTGTAAGGCAGCGGAAAACATGAAGTTTTTCTGAAAGTCACCTCCTGAATCCAGGGACTCCTAGCCAAACTGTTATTGACTGTCAAGGGTTATAGGCCCCCTGATGACCTAGGCACTTTCAAAATATGAAAAAGGCCTTAAGGTCCTCAGAATGGATCTTTTTATTTCTCTGTAAAGACTCCCTGCATGTGACTCTGATCTCCAAACAGTCCGGCCAAGGCATTTTCTTTGCCTACATGTTCCAGGTGCCTAAAACCAGGCTGTGCCACACTGCCTTGCCCTGTGTGCAACCTGTGGTCTGCATGCAGTCTCACTAAAACCAGTGGAATGACAGAAAGCAAGAACTTCTGCCAGCACGTGGAAGGTGTGGTTATATCTAGCAGAGCTGCTGGCAACAACCTTCCTTCCCGTCTGCACAGGGAGATGTTGCTGGAGCTCTGTTATCAGGTGTCTCAGAGCCTGCTGCACCACCTAATGTGGGAGTCTCTTTGTCAACATCCTGTCCCTAGCAACTGGTAAAAAAAAGCGAAAATGGGAGGGAACTGTCCCATGAGGGACACTACCAAAGTCAGACCTTTTTGCAGGCTTGGCCCAGTGACGAGGCTCCCAGATGTCTGACTCTCTCATCTGAAACACTCGCTATTTCAACAACAGCCAAGAGCTGTGTGCTTCAAAAGGAACAAGTCAGAACATTGCCTATCAGCTGCACAGTTGTTCCAGTTATTTTGTTTGAGCTGTTTCCCCAGGATAAATGTACATTGCCTCAACATCACAGTGTCCATGGTTCACCAGGGCTGCGTGCACACACAGCAAGGGGCATGGGCTGTTCTCAGGCAGTGTTTTTCCTTCTTTCCCTGTCTCTGGCTCATTGTGTTTAACTTTTAAGCCCTGTTTGCTCACCTTGCTAGTCAAAACAGGGCTTTATTTTTCTTTTCCAGAATGTGCAGGGCTAGTGCAAGTAGTTAGAGAAGCAAGCTGTCCTCCTTCCACAACATCAATACCCTCCTTGCCAACAATAATTATTCTGCATTGGGATTTTTTCCTCTTATCTGCTGATGCATGAGGGTGGTGGTGGTGTTAGTGATGGGATATGCCACCTCTTGATATTTCCTGGATTTTCTTTAAATGCTGTGTTTTGAACTATGAGATTAGGAAAAGGATTCTTTGCATTTGTCTGCAAATCTACTGACAGCTGCCCCTTCAGCATTTGGCCTGGGTCTGGCACACACCTTGCAGCCTAAAAATATTTTTGCACAGTAACTGCATGCCAAGATTTAACTCTCAAAGGGGAAATTCTTTTCCACCAGAAAATGAAGTTTCAACTTCTCATGCAGAAATTCTTTTGTTTGAACTAGCCCAGTGATCAGGAGAGGAGCCTTAACAGGGCTACTCAGCAGAAAACATCCCCAGTAGCTCTCTCTCCCTGCAATGTAACCTTGGTGTGATTTGGTGCATTTACTGGCTCCAGCTATTTCCCAGAAGTGCTCAGAACATGCAAAATTAAGCAGCTGATGCTATTAGGAAGAGAGCTTGCTTTTCTTTCCCTTCTTCCCTAGATGTCTGTTTCCTTACCTTAATCTGTGTGTAACTTCCCTCAGGTGACACAAGGATCTCCTTCAAGATTAATACATCCCTACCTTTGATGGGCAACTTGAGAAACTCATGCAAAGGACTTAAAAGCTATCCTTACTTGGTCTGAGGTGGAGACCTTTGTTAATTAACTTGATTTTACCAAATTCTGGGAGCCTTGGAAATTGAATTCAATTTATAAACTACTTTGTAAATACGACTTAATGAGGAACTCAGTCCTATCTACCAGCTCAGCAGGAACCAATCCCCAAACATTTTATTGTCTTATGTGGCTGCCAGTCCAACCACTTCACCAACAGCCGTGCCAGTTCAGCACTGTCTGTGGTAACAGGGTTGTGTCTAAGCTTCTCCTGAGGTTGTGGGATATGCATCACGTCTTACTCTCTTTGGTATATCAGCCCTACTTCAGAAACATTTTCTGTCATGGTTATTAGGTTTCTCTCCTATAGTTCTGATTTTTTTCTCCGGGTGATGAATGAAGGATTGAACAGGGAGGCTGCAGACAACATACAGAACAGTCTGCTTGCTTCACAGATGGCTGAAGCAGAGCAGGAATTTGCTGTGCCGTGTTAAACTTCTCTTGGGGTTTGGGAACCTGAGCAGAAATCAAAACTCAGTCCTACCATGGGCAGCTTTGTGTCTGACTGGGAACAACCCTGAGAGATAAAAAGGTTTATAATGGTGATGATAGTGGTGATGATGGTGAAGTTCATGCTGATGGGTGGGGACAATGACAAATGTTCCTCCTTGTGTGTAAAATACCAGAGTGGTCGCTGTCCCCACTGATGTTACGTACTGCTCTCTAGATACCACTCTCACAGACTGGTGCCTCCCTCAGACCTCATGGTAAATGGGACAGGGACAGGCAGATGAGCCCCTTTCTCTCCTGTCATCCATGTAGGGCTGTAGGGGGGCCCTTGGTTCACAATAAATGCCAGTTATGATTAACAGTGGACTCCTACTCCTTTGGTCTGACACTCAAACCCTCTAGTAATCACTGTCCCTGGAAATTCTCCTGCCTTGCAGCACAAAGTGGCTTGCTTGGATTTGGCCATGGAGAAGAGATCCAAGGGACATCTTTGGTTTATTTGGTCTCTGATGGGAGTGGTGCCACTGATGTCCTAAAATGTCCACTACTAAAAAAGCTCCTCTCCCCAGATGCACTTGGAATGCAAATCTTCTTTCAGAGTAGATCTGTAAGAAAATGCAAACTGATTCCCTTCTGTCTCTTTAATCCCTTCTCTGCTCCCTTAGCCCAAGGTGTGTGTATATAGGCTGGCTTGGCCATGGATAAATACAGCAGCTTCTTATTTTCTTGCTGCTCTCAGGTCAAGAAAGCAAGGTGGGAAAAACATAACATTTCCTTCACCACTATCAGAACATTTTGCAAGCATTTGCCTGTTGCACAATAAGTCACTGACATCCACTGTGTCTGTTTTTTGTTCCCTCTCCCTCACCCCAAGTTCTCTCAGCTCATTAAAATCTTCAACTCACTGGGCCCTGAGAAGTTCCCCCTGGTGGAGCAAACGTTCTTCCCAAGCCATAAGCAGATGGTGAGTAACTTTGCTTTCTTCTGATGCCAGTATGGACGGGATGGAAACAACAGGTGCCAGTTGGGAACAGGGAATGGTGGTGGGAATGCTGGGAAGAGTCTAAATTTTACTTACAGAAGTAAGCTAAAAAGTGCTGTGCAAAAGACACTCCTTGGGAACCTCTTTACTTTCTTGCCCAGCCCTCCCCTAGGTCATGTACAGACCCTGAAAAAATGTACAAAGAGGCTCAAAGGCTCAAAACTAAAGCAGAACTCCATTGTAAAACACAGTCAACAAAAAGCTCATCTCTTAGAGCAAAGAATCACTCCATTCAGATAAAGTGGATTTTCCCTACTCCTGGAATTGTTTAAAATATGCTGACAATTTGGGACGTGGGTCCTAAGAGATGTTTGTTTCACAATGTTAGTTTGCTTGGTCTCTCACGTGCTCACCATCCATGAAACATTTATCAGCCTGAAGGTACTCAGGGTAACTTGGAGTTCTTAAAAGAGTTTGTTTCAGCTTCTCATGTTTTCTTTGCACAGTGCTCTGGGGTCTGGTCTTTCTGTCAACAGCTAAACACTCTGTGCCCTGTGTGCCTGCTGGGAACTGTACCAAACTCTTAGGGCACCTTCCAAAGAAATCTGCGTAGGTGCCTTTAGTCCTGGAGAGCGCAGCAAAGAGAGGGGCTTTGTTTAAAGCTGGTCATGACTCTTGTTTTCCCTGCGTTAAAAGGAAGACTAGTCCTTTGTGAGTTTTTGCTCCCAACTTACATCCATGAATTAATGGCTCTTCCTACATGGCTGAGGCTTTGATGAAACCCTGTATGAACCATGACCCCCTGTGTGACCACTGTCTGGCTGAGCTCATTTCCCAGGCTTGACTGTGAACCCAAGCAGCATTGCCAGCCCGAGCATGAGGGCTGTTGAGATGTCAAACTAAGGCTCAGAAATATGCAAACCCGTCTTTTCTCACACACTTGTTGCAGCACTGTGGGCCAGCCATAACACAAAACAGGGTGCAGGTACATAATCATCTAGTTTCTTGGGAAAAATCCCACTGCTACATGCTAGGTTCTCAAATATTTTGAAATGCCAGGCCTTCACCTCGCTGTTCCAATACTCTGCTCTCTACCTGTGCTGTGTAGACTACAACACTTCCATGTTTCACAGGCACATCGTGGAGGTAAGTACAGTCATGAAGTTGTATTATCATTTAGGACATAAAGAAATGGATAGTCCTTAAACAATGTGATCGGTTTTTGCACATTAATGAGATTAATTACTTGCATACCTGTTGCATTTAATTTCTAATGATCTATGAAGAAGGTTTTGTGACATGAGTAATGCTTCAGGACAGCTGTGACTTGGACCACCATTTCAGGAATGGTACTTTTGGAAGACTCGATAAGGGTTATCATTGCAAATAAGTTAGCACTTTTAGTACGATTTTCTTGTCTGGCTATCTGATTCTTAGTTCCTCAGATGTAGATGTATTTGGTACCAGCAAGGTAGTTTGCACTGATCTTAATTTCACTTATTTTCCATCTTTATAACTAATCACCTACTTAGAAATGCTATTACTTACTTCCAAAAGGGTACAGGAAGCCTTTTAAACTGTAGGTAATCTCATATGAAGACAAACACTACTGCTGACATGCAAGTCTGAGTAATCTGGTTTAAATCAGTCACTTTCCAACAAATTACGAAAGCAACAAACCACTTGGGCAAGTTCAGGTCAGCCCTTCCCAGGTGAGGGGGAGTGGTCTGCCTCTGAATGAATGATTCTACACAACTTCTAAATATCTTTTCTAGGAGCATCTTCACAGCATCCTGGACTGGGAGGGTCTGAGAGGTCAAGTGCTTACACCAAGCAAGCTGTATTGTAGTCATCACCAAACACCTCTGGAAGCTGTTTGCCCACTGTGCATCAGCTTCTCCATTTGTCAGACAGGAATATACTGATCCCCTTTTACCACTCCTTCTCTTCCCTCTCCTGGAGGCATTTCCAAGCTGAAACAGTGAGCACTCATAAAACTCACTGTGGTCCTTTGATGGGTGACCCCCTGGAAGTGCTTATAACGAGTGTTATGGTTTTACCTCTCTTCAAAGTGACACATTTTAAGCACTTAAGCTCTCACATAGGACACTCTCACCCTTCTATATCCAAAATTTTCCAGAGCCTACTTTTTAAACCTTTGGATCAAACCGAGAACAGATTCAAAGATCTCTCTCATTCTTTCACCTCTGTAGAGACTTGTAGAAAAGTAGTAAAATCTCTGTAGAGATTTTCCAAGAGTAAAAAGTGAGATACGGGAAGTTTCTAACAGTAGGTCCATTTTTGTGAGCATTTTAACAAATCTGAAAATGCTTTTTCTGAATCTTCTTTCTCATGAGAACAGGGCACTTTTTAATCAGCCTTAAACAGTAAGCCTAAGGAGAGGGCACAAGATTCTGACATTTCACAGCAGAAGAGATGAATCTTCAGACCTCCCCATAATGATTTGTTTTCTGGAAATAAGAGCAATCTGGAAGTGTTCTTCCAAGGACCTACTGGTGCTATAGCCAGCCCTAATGACTGCCTTGCTCTGTACTGACCTCCTATGGCCAATTAACAACTGGGAGCCATTAGCATCAAAACAGATTTTTCGCCTCTCCTGGGCTTATGACCACAGTAACAATTCCTAGAGAGCACAACCTCTTAAAAAGTGGGGGAGATTCCTGAAGGGATCTTTGCCAAAGTGCAAGAATTTCCAGAGGTGGGATATCTGCTTTGGGACCAATAAAAGTGTATCAGGAAGGGGAAGAAAATTAATAAATCCAGTTGCAAATCCATTTGTGTACATTTGAAGTCGACAGAAACTAATGCAAGTGAAGCAGAGACAGAATGTCTGTGATAGAAATAAAACCACTTTACTGTTTAGAATAAAAGGACACTATAAAAAGTGAACATTATGCAACATTACCTTAAAAGACAATATACATTCACTGAATATAAAATTTATAAATAACATGGAGGAAAACTGTAAACAGTGCTAGAAAATTTAGCAACAAATACATTCCTTCTGGACAAGATTTTTCACATGGGTTTGGTTCTCTCCCCAAGTTTCCATGACTATCAGGAACAGCAGAGTGGCTCTATGAAGGAAGGACAGTGAGACAGAAGCCAGTACAAGCAAAATAGCAACAAATGTTTAGTGGGTTTTTACGTTTTTTTCTCAAGACTGGTAGCCCCAAAAGTCACTTACTCTAAAATAATCAAAAACTTTTTGCACTTCCCTATATTCTGTTCTCTCTTTCTAAAATGTGCTATAAAGTACATTATAAGTAAGCAGTATTTTCAGAGACATCTGCAAGGATGGAAGCTTGTTCTCATGGAGGCCTTTCTTTCCAACAGTCTTTACTGCAAAAAACACAACAGGATATTTCCCATCACTGTGAGGTAGGATTTCACTGTGATAAGTATGAATGGGATACAATGACAGATTTAGGTTTCAGAATAGTCCTACTAAAGGGCCACATAACTTTTTAAAACATGAGAAATTTAGATTTAAAAATGGCCTTTTTTTTTCCCCATACAGGAGAGGTAGAAGCCTCCCACTTTAAAGAGGACTTCATTTAAGGAACTCTATGCACAAATCTCCTACTCTCTACCCCCTCCATTTTGGAAAAGGCAAATAGAATCTAATCTTTCCCAAACCTTCAATATATATTTGTGTCATTTTAAACGGGAAAACACTCTCCAGCAAGTAAGGGAAAAAATATGTATAAATAAGAAACTGAACATCTTCAGTCTCGAAATTAGCTATGCACTTAAAAAAGTATTTTTAATAATGTTGGTGTGTCTAAAGCATGGTGGCAGGGAGTGTGTGTGTGTGTAATCCTGGACATGTCCATTGGCAAGTAGAAGTGACTTAGCAAGGCAGAAGAAAGGAGAGCTGACAGAAAGGAAGAAGTCTTTGAGTCTGATTTAGAGCCTGTTCAATCCATGTAATAGCTTCCACTTCAGGAGTGCCTTCAGGCAGGTCCTTAATGCAAGCACAAGAAATGCATGTCCCTGATAGCATGCACAGAAACAAAATAAAGGAGCTTCCCAAAAGAAATGTATTTTCACTGGATTCTTCCCCCTCCTTTTGGCTCCACATTTTGAAAAGCCTTAACAACTATTTCTTTACACAGCAAGGGCAAAGATTTGCCATCAAACCTCTGCCCCTGCCAGTCTAGCTGTCTGCATCTCAGAAATATTTTACTGTCCGCAAAACAAAGTGGGAATATGCTTTACTTTCTGGTAATGCATCTGCTGTTTTTTTGTTTACAAAGCACATAGCTACATCATATCCTACATAGGGACACAAGTCCTCATAGTATTAGAACGCAAATATTTTCACAATAATTTGAGTGCAATACTGTGATGTCTCAGCTAGCTAAATGAATCAGTGACAGGTAAAATACACAGAGCTGCAGTTTAATGAAAATTCAAATCAACATTTTACTACATCAAGGGGCATTTTTGTTTAGCCTTCCAAAGCTGTGAGAAGTGGCTGCAGCTCAAAGAGATGCTGGCTTTGCCAAGTCACCTTGAGCTTGAGGAGGCCACATCCTGCAACACCAACTCCGAGCAATGCAAACACTGAGGGTGGCTCCATTCTGCCCTCAGTGACCCTCACACATTTTGTCAGCCATGCACAACTCAGAGATTGTTCCACTGGGCCCAAAGCCCAAACCCATGTTTTGCCAAAAGGAACAACTTTCTGAACCACCACCTGATCCTGTGATGGGTGTCATGTACTCTCCCTCTCATCTCCAACCCATAATTTAGGAGTAGTCACGGGAAGAGGACTTCTGAGAAGTGTTCCAAGTCTAAATCACAGGAAAATCCAATAGCCTTTCAACATGTTTTGTGCTGCATTGCCACTCAGAGCTGCTGGGGAAAAAAATACATGAAGCAGATCTGGGCACCTCTTACAGCAACTCTGTGAAAATGCCCTTTAAAGTTCATGCTAAAAATGAAGCTTTATGCTG